TGGAAAAAATTCGCGAAAATAGCCTTTTTTTTAGGTGCTCAGAGTAGAAGGTCCCCTTAATATGTAATTCTAACGAAATTATGAAATTGACTGAAAAATAATTTGAAATAATGTTATAGTTGTATGACATGATCATGAAAATACAATTGGATTATTAATTAATAAAGAAAAGATAAATTATTTAACGTTAAATACGTACCTAATGTTGATTTAACGCCGTTGTACAATTAAACAATGAATTTTGTCCAACAATAATTTTAATTTAATAAAATCTGATCTGTAAACTTTATACTTTCCCTCTAAATGCCACTTTATGCACGTCGCGCATTCTAGCGGTCGGTACGCGCAACGCGAACGAATTAAATTAAAATGCGCGCCAAATTCGAATTACTTTCTCTGTACGTGTCTCATGAGATAGTTGATTAAATGAATATTTCAATTTACAATCGTTAGAAAAAGAAGATGAAATTAATTGAAGGATAAGGCGAATTGTTCGAAAAAAAAAAATGAGAATATTAAATATTAGATGTCAAAGTTTTATTTATAAGTAATTAAATTTAGCACATTTATAGTAAATCTTTTGTCACAATCTCCTCGCCTAAAAAACTATATATGATGAATCGCCAGACTAAAATACGCTTAGAACCCGTACGCAACGTTTACGTTTCCATATTATATACGATCGGCATTATATCACTTGCTCTTTCATAGCATTTAAAATTGAATGGATTATTTTACTTTCGTACAATTTTAATTAGCCAGGTGTACAGTTCACATAAAAACGTTCATTCTTTTCTGTTCTAAAAATCGTTATCGATTATCAATCTGTGTAGTGGTGTCGTTTTTAATGTTATTTATTATTTTTTTTTTCTTCTTCTTCTTCTTCTTCTTCTTCTTTTATTCTATTTTATTTTCTTACATTTTTTTTTTTTTTTAATTTTCTCCATTTATTTCAAATATTTTAATATAACGTTTAAAATTTTTTTTTTTTCTCCAGATATTGTAACGCCATACAACGCCAAGGATTTTATTATCAGAAGAGATCAATGTCGATATCGGGGATAAGTTAATTTAATTTTTTTCTCACACCGACATTATTCTTAAAATCTGTAAAGGTCACACATCATTTATCGACAGAAAAAAAAAAAAAGATTTGATGTGCTTCTAAGAGTTCTTACCATTTTTATTATTATTATTATTATTATCATTATTAATATTATTATCATTATCATTATCATTATCATTATCATTATTATTATTATCTATTTATTTTTTTTTTTATTTACTTTTTTGTCATATACGTTAAACGTATATAATGAAAAATTTTATGGAACCTTACAATGCAGGATTTTCTATACATGTGCACTATATTACCAACGAATTATCACGATAATATATTAATAAAATATTGAATAAATATTAAGTCGCCAATTTTCTACCATATTCTTTAATGTTCTTCCTGTGTTCTCATTTATAAGTTCCTAGGTTCTCTTACAACATCCTTTCTTTCTCTCTCTCTCTCTCTCTCTCTCTCTCTCTCTCTCTTTCACACACATTAGAGGCGGCTTTGTCTTTCTTCTACCCTTAATCATTTCTTAATTCATAACTTATTTCGATTCCCCATTAATCTCATGATCACCCTTTTGCTTTTGTTTTGGCCCTTGTTCTTAAATACTAACAGAAGTCACACATAAAATCATTTTTTGTTTAATATTATTAGAGAAAATATTGACTTATTGTTAACGTAATCAATATGAGATTGCGAGGGCATCCTTACAGCAGATATATAAAGATTGTGTCGACTAAATTTACATTAATTCTCTAGCTACTACGAGATTAATTGAAACCTTTTGTCATTTTGTCAGTCATGTGCAGCAGATAAACGAAAATGAATAATTACATTGAATAAAATATCTATTAAAACAATTAATGACATATTCGATTATCTGCAATGCACATAACTTTTCAAACAATGAAGAGATACTTTTAAAAATGGCTTTGTTTAAAGCCATTATATGATGGCGCTTCGTCCCATAAAATGACTTATAGGATAACCACTTAATTGGTGTTTAGTAGCTAGAGAGAATTGTTTAGTTAATAAGAATTATCGTGGCTAAATTGTAAATCATCTGTACGAGATATTACGAGCTAAATTCATCACACGCAAGGGTCTTCCGATTAATTTAATACATGTATAGATGGTGTCTGTCTATTATAGTTGTAATGATGAATATCCTTTTATATATACTCCACTTTGAGATCTCATCTTGGCCGGTTTACATAAATTATTATTCATATGTGTTTTACATTTAATCGTGAATATACTATAATATAATAATAATTTGGATATTACAACAGCGATTTAATATAAGAGGTATTATTACAAGACTTGAGCACTTTATCGAGAGACCTTCTCTATATTTAGTTGCAACGTTCATGATCAAATAGTATTAAAGCTGAAGATCATTTTAATTTATTCATAGCTATCAAAAGATTTATTCTCTTTTTCTCTCTCTCTCTTTCTCTCTCTCTCTCTCTCTATAAATATATATATATTTAATCACATAGGTAGTCGAAGAAAAACAAAATAATGATGATAAAAATTTACGTAAAAGCCACATAGAATAACACAAACAATTAGGTTTGCAGGTTTTTTTTTTACTTATCCTTGAAAGGGACATATTGAATTTTAATTCTATAAAACGATTCAGTGTTAACAGAATATTTTTTTCTAATTTGTATGTTACGTTATATTCAATTATTAAAATTAAAACGTTAAATTATAAAAATTAACACGTTAGGTGTGTGGCATCATCAGTAAGTAAAACCATAACAATATATCTTTCAAATTTAATGTACTTTCCTTTGGTATTTTCTTTTTTTTTTTTTTGTTCTTTTTCGAATTGGTAAACCCCATATGTCAGTGAAACTATCAATTTATTTTTGTTTTATTTGTTTTCAATATTTCACTGACAAAATGAACTTTTTTTTTATCAATTGAACGTAAACCATCATACTGAAATCACCACACTTAACACGTTTGTTTTTATTAAAATTTTTCATATAATATAATAATTATAATTAAGATAAAAATAATAATAATAATAATAATAATAATAATAATAATAATAATAATAATAATTAAGGTACATCCAAACAAACAGATAAAACTACAAAAATTATCAATGTCTTGAAAGTTTTTCGACCATACGAAAATTAATCAACATACCATAACATTACAACTATGTAATAGCAACTGGGCATACAGCATTGGAGACACTCTTATTTTAAACCTAATAACTTTATGTAAGGCAGAAAATGATGATTGCTAATACTAATACTAATTATAGTACAACAATGATAACAGAGTTTGTTAACACATTCACAACAGGACTTGAATTATCTTATTTTATTATTTGACCATTATTTTACCATCGGTGATTCAACCTGTCGTGAAAGTATTAACTCTCGAAATGATTCTAGTACGCATAATCCAGTAATGGGGTCTATCGTGACTCAAACCAATGTTCTATTATTTATACTTGCAAGTTTCCCCACCCTGCAATTTCATCACCGTCATTACAGTCACTGCTAGAGACTCTAAAACTTGCTACTTTTTCCGTCTCCTTCGTTTACATATTTGATTTTTTGATTTTTTGATTTTTTATTCGATATGTCTATTATACACGCATTGTATAGAATTTTGAAGGGGATGAAGTCCTTCAACTTCCGGTTGTTAATGACATACCTCCATTCCAAGGAATGTTTATAAAGACTGAGAGATTATGTAAGAATTATCCTGTAAAATTGAATAGCATCCATTTTGGATGGATTGAACATTCCAATTTATAAATTGACTACGAATTTGACAATATTTTTGAAGTATGAGAGTTGATAATTGAATGAAAAGTTAGCAACGGAAGTAGCTTTTAGTGTACTCTTGGTATTTACAAGATTTCTGCTTGTCAAGATATGATACCTGCTTTTTTTTTTTTTTTGTGAGAATGACGAGAGTGGGTGTCACTTCCATCCTGGTAGTAATTTCAGAAGACACAAGATTTCTTACATTGGATGATAATATAACAAAATGGTCAGCAAGTCACACCTACTTTGATATTGACTGGAACGGTCCTGAACTATCCAGACTGTTCATTAATTAATCACTACACTTTCTCAAAAGTTTATACAATTACTTGTGGCACAAAGTTTTTAAGAGTAATATCACTCACTCACATAGAATACAATTGAGATTACACACTGTTTGAGACATTGACCTGCTAAGAATTGTCCTTATCGAGCACATGCTATTCAAACGAATAAAACGTTCACATGTTATTCATTTATACTATAATGATACTTTTCTTTCATTCTGTGCAGAGGTGATGATCACTTTACTATTACCACATGTAATTAATCATTCGTCAAAAAAGACAAATTCTTCAGAGACCCCTTTACCGAAATGCAAGGATTAAAATGATGCATATTTATCAAGCAATGTTATCAAAACATCTCATTGTGGAAATGCACTTTGGTTGTTTTTATACAAATAACTTTCTAAGCAAAAATGTCAGCCCTAAATGTATAGCATACGTTCCCCCATTCTTATTATTCTTACGACATATTATTTTATTTTATTTTATTTTGTTTTGTTTTGTTTTGTTTTATTTTATGACAATACAACCAATCTTTTCAAGTTTTAAAATTAATATTGTTCGGTAGTGATTCATCATAATGTACTTTTTGTTTAGGCCACCATCATAATAATAATATAAAATAATAATCAATCTCGTGTATTTTTCCAGATTACGGATTATTATGATCTAAAAAAAATGGGATGGTGGCCTAAACAAAAGATTCGAAAGTTTTGTGTATTGAACACTTTTTTTTCAAATTACACCAATTTTTTCCTTTCTGCAAATATCTCTTAGATATTTAGCCCCTTAAATTTATTATTCTGCTCATTCTTTTAGTTTTTATAACGAAGTTTACTAATCTCTATTTATTTATATATATATATGTATGTATACATATATATATATNTATATATATATATATATATATATATATATATATATATATATATATATATATACATGCATAGATACATCATACGTACGTACGTACATATATATACATAGATGTGTGTATGTATATATGTATGTATATAAATTCTTATTTACTTATTTATTTGTTTGTTTATACGAGTTTCTGTGCATATACGAGGATGTTTTATTGCGAATATGTGTAACGTAATGTATATTATGTAGCATGCCTTTATATTTATAGCCATAATGCCCTATACATATACATACATATTACATACATATTATATATTGTATATATATATATATGTCATATGTATATATATATAAATACATATATTATACAATAATTATATATATAAAATGTGTATCAGTATGTGTACCTTCTTATTACTAATTTAATTATTTCCCGGCATTCCAATAAGACTCCCATAGATATACTTAGCTGTACTTTCAGATGTCTGACGTCTACTTAAAACGATACTTATAAGAATTAGCACGCTTGATCTGATTTTTTTTTTTTTTTTTTTTTCTTTTAATACGCATCCCCTATTTTGTATTACAGACTTATTATTATCATTTCCCTCCGAAATATTACAGAACAAGTTGTTTATTTTTTTTTTTTTATTTTTTTTCTTTTTTTCTTGTTCCAAGACCTTCACCGTTTCATAATATATTATATAATCCACATAATACAATTACGCACTGTTTAGAATTTCGGAGATCGTTTATTAATTATTTGGATTCTAAAATTCGACCTTATTGTTTGCCACGTTGCGGACGAAACGCCAGGCACTTGTAGAGACAAGGATGAACTATTATTTATTTATTTATTTATTTATTTTCATTGGTATTATTTTCTTTGCTTCTTCTCTTTTTTTTTGTTTTTTTTTATTTTTTTTTTTGTTTGTTTTTTCTTAGAACGTTATAGAAAGAACTACGGGATCTTTTAATTATAATACATCAATAGACGACAATTGAACAGAATTTTTTGCTTCTTTTCCTTAGAACAACATGCCAAAGACGCTGGTTTTTGTCTCAATAGTAGAATTAATGTGAATTGCCCAAATTTATCACGTAATTTAAGAATTTTTATGAAATAAACTATAATTATTACACTACTGTGACAATATTGTATAACAGTGACATAATTAATATTTAATATAAATATATATATATACGGTGCTATAATAATTACGTACATTA